CTTTATTCGAATTTTGCCAAAAATAGCAAAATCCCGAAAATCACTCTAAATTGAAATTCGAAATAAAATAAGCAATCTCCAAAAAATCCGGCCTAAATCGGATTTAAATTGACTTCCTAATTGACAATCAAAATATTACCAAAAATAGTAAAAAATATCTAATTCTAATTCAGTGGTGATTTTGGGAAGGTTCATCTAGCTGATGATGAAACCTTGAAGATCGTTGGAAGAGGAGACATCCGACTAAAGTTGCCAAACCAGACCACCTGGAAGCTGAAAGGTGTGAGACATATTCCTGGTCTTATAAGAAATTTGATTTATGTTGGACAACTTGATGGAGAAGGATATATCACAACCTTTTCAGGCTGTTAATGGAAGATTACCAAAGGAGCACTCGTCATTTCTCGTGGTAAGAAGACTAGTACTCTCTATGTAATCTCAAATTTAGAGAATATCATTGCAGCCACAGATCCTGATGGAAAATCAAACCTATGGCACCAAAGGCTTTGCCATATGAGCGAGAAAGGGATGAAGACGCTTTTGACAAAAGGGAAGCTGCCGGATCTAAAGAATGTAGATGTCGGACTATGTGAAGATTGCATCTTTGGCAAACAAAAGAAAGTCAGTTTTGCATAGATTGGCAAGACACCCAAGGCAGAAAAGTTAGAGTTAGTTCATACTGATGTATGGGGACCATCTCCAGTTCCATCTCTTGCAGGCTCACTATATTATGTCACCTTCATCGATGATTCTACAAGGAATGTGTGGGATTATTTTCTGAAGAAGAAATCAAAAGTCTTTGATACATTCAGAAAATGGAATGCCATGGTGGAAAATGAGACTGGTTTGAAAGTTAAGCGATTGAGGTTTGACAATAGAGGAGAGTACAGAAACAATAGATTCAGAGATTTCTGCGCAAACAATGGGATCAAGATAGAGACAACAGTTCCCATGACACCACAACAGAATGGCGTAACAAAGCGCATGAACAGAACTCTGAATGAACGTGCCAGAAGCATAAGGATACATGTCGGATTGCCCAAATTTCTATAGGCTGAAGCTATCAACACTGCAACTTACCTGATCAACCATGGGCCCTCAGTTTACTTGGATGGTGGAATACCAGAGGAAGCTTGGAGCAAGAAAGAAATAAACCTTTCACACTTAAGAGTGTTTGGCTGTATTTCTTATGTACACATAAATTCTGCTGAAAGAAGTAACTTAACGCCAAGTCCAACAAATGTGTCTTTGTTGGTTATGGTGGTGATGAGTTCGGTTACCGATTTTGGGACTACGAAAATCGAAAGATTATCAGAAGCAAAAATGTCATTTTCAATGAGAATGTGATGTACAAAGACAGGTCAACCATAGAATCAAGTAGCTCCAATATCGAAGCTGAAACAAAGGAATTTGCTGAGTTCAAGAAGATTTCTGGAAATGATGTTAAAATCAGTCCTGAAGCAGTTCAAGAAGAACCAGGCACACCGGAACTAAGACGCTCCTCCAGAATTCCTAAACCAACCCAGCATTATTCACCTTCTTTGCATTACTTGTTGCTGACTGACAATAGTGAACCAGAGTGCTATGATGAAGCAATGCAGGTAGAGGATTCAGTCAAGTGAGAGTCTTTCATGAAAGATGAGATGAACTTGCTTATGTCAAATCAGAGTGGGAATTAGCTGAATTACCACCAGGCAAGAAAGCACTTCATAACAAGTGGATTTACAGGATCAAATAAGAGCACGATGGGAGCAAACGCTACAAAGCAAGATTGGTTGTCAAAGGTTTTCAGCAAAAAGAATGAATTGACTACAATGAAATTTTCTCTCCAGTCGTGAAACCGTCTACAATCAGACTGGTATTGAAAATTCTAGCTGCAGAAAATCTACATCTTGAGCAGTTAGATGTAAAGACAACTTTCCTTCATGGTGATTTGGAGGAAGAAATCTATATGAGGCAATCATAAGGCTTCATAGAGGCAATCAAGAAAAACCTGGTATGCAGGTTGAAGAAGAGCTTGTATGGTTTAAAACAAGCTCCTAGACAGTGGTACAAGAAGTTCGATAGCTTTATGAGTAGCAGTGGTTTTACCAGATGCCAAGCAGATCATTATTGCTACATCAAGAGGTTCGACATCAGCTTCATTATTTTATTGTTGTACGTTGATGACATGCTCGTTGCAGGATCATACATGCAAGAGATTATAAACTTGAAGCAAAAATTGTCAAAGCAGTTTGCAATGAAAGATCTGGGCGCTGCAAAGCAGATTCTTGGGATGAGGATCAAGAGAGACACAAATTCGGGGACTTTGATGTTATCACAGGCTGAGTACATCAACAAAGTACTCTCCAGGTTAAACATACAAGATGCTAAACCAGTAAGTACACATTTAGGTGTTCATTTTAGACTCTCTAAAGAACAATCACCAAAGACGGAGGAAGAACGTGCACACATGGTGAAGGTGCCTTATGCCTCAACAATTAGAAGTTTGATGTATGCCATGGTCTGTACCAGACTAGATATTTCTCATGCAGTGGGAGCTGTCAGCAGGTACATGAATAATCCGGGCAAGGTACGCTGGGAAGCAGTCAAATGGATCCTCAGATATATGCGGGGTACTACAAACAAAACACTTTATTTCAAAGCTAAAGATACAATACTGACAGGCTATGTAGATACTGACTTAGCCAAAAATGTTGACATCAGAAGGAGCACTACAGGGTATGTCTATACTCTGGGAGGTACTGCAGTGAGTTGGGTTTCTCAACTACAGAAGATAGTTGCTCTCTCCACAACTGAAGCAAAATATGTCGCTGTTACGGAAGCCAGTAAGGAGATGGTTTGGCTCCAAAGTTTCTTGGAAGAGTTAGGCAAGAAACAAGAAAACAATGTCTTGTATTGCGATAGTCAAAGTGATATCCATCTAACAACAACCCATTGAAATTCTTTGCAGTGCTGTAAATGATGCTTGCTTACAAAGAGGACAGATATCAGATGTTATAAACTTATAAAATTTTATATTTATGGAAATAAATTGTTAGAAAATATATGGTTTTTTTTCTTGAATTCATATATTTTTTTGAATAGTCTAAAATGATTTTAAGGTACTATTTATTAAATATTTTTCTAATTTATTGATAATATACACACATTTTATAAATGTAGCTTCTTAAACTAAACATCTCAAGATTAATCTTCTCTTTTACTATTGAGAACATTTGATGGTGTATATATATACGACTTAATAAAAAAAAATGTGTCCAAATTATACTAAAAATTGACTTTTGGTACCTAAAGATTTTTTTGTTAAAAATAAATGTAATATTTTCTCTGTTATACTTTTATGTGTCTATTGTTAAAAAATCGTTAGTGACACGTGTTACGTTTGTATTTTTTAAAATAAAATATTATTTAAAAACATATATTTTTTAAATATGAACGTGACGTGTCACTTAACAGTTTCTCTAACGGTAAACATCTAAAAGTGTAACAGAGAAAATATTAGACACTTATTTTTAACGAAAAATCCTTTTTGCACCAAAAGTAAATTTTGAGTATAGTTTATGTACTTATTTTTATATTAATCCTATATATATTTCAAAAATACTTAAATTATATATGAGATTTGAAATTTTCATACGAAGGAGATTTACTTTTGGTCATCCGTCGTCCTCTCAATCTATTCTTATTATTATGTTTGAACCGTTAAAATCCAAATAAAGAAGTCATTTATGACGGGACTAAATTAAAGACATTATGACCTTTTTCAGGGCAGGATATGACTGGTGACCTATTCAAATACAGTTGACAACTAAAAAGTATAACGGGAAAAATATTATATATCTATTTTTAATGAAAAAAATTTTAGGCACCAAAAGAAAATTTTAAGTATGATTTATGTACTTATTTTTAACGAAAAATCCTTTAGGCAACTAAAAGTATATTCTTGTTAATACGTTAGAATCCAAATGAAAAGTCATTTAGGGCGGGGACGAAATTAAAGACATTAAGACAATTATGGGTTTACTACATGAACAATATTTATGTCCCTTTTTAGGGCAGGACATGGCCGGTAGCCTGTTCAAATGCAGTTGACATTGTAAACGTCGTTTTCAACGTCCGAATCACCTTCCGGTGCTGTCAGCATCCTTTTTGATCGTCTCCAAGCAATGTTGTGAGATTAACATATAACCTGTAGCTATTGTCTATTAGTTACCATCGACGCCTGCGAACCAATTAATCTATTAAAGCCATTGAATTTCGTTAACGTTTCGGCATATTACTCTATGCTTTCATCAGTTCATAAATGACAAACCAAAACTGCCAAATCGAATTGAGTTTCTTTTCTGTAAGTTTAGCCTCAATTCACGAGTCATCGTTACCAGTATTTTCTTAAAGCATCTTTCGAATAGATCAAAGCTCCACATGAGCATATATAAACAGATCATAGCATTATACGGATGTATCATTGTCAGTTTCATTTCAACAGACGATGGCTTCTTTCTCGATAGAAGAATTTGTTGGTGATGGGGTTCCCAAGGCATTGTTTCCAAAGCTTTTGGAAGAAGGTTGGGATGACGTCCCAACTTTAAAGATCATGAATTCGGATGACATGGATGCACTTAACATGACGCAGCATCAAAAGGTAAATAAATATAAATTTATCACCTGCTATTTCATATGTTCATCACCTGGAAATCAGATGATTTGTTTCTTCTGTTCTTCAGGATGCTCTGGAAATCAGAACCTACCTTCATGACCTTGCTTTGATCCAGTATGGAAATAAGCTAGAGGCCTCTAGGAAATGCCTGCCTGAGCTCCTTAACTTGCGCACCGAGGAGCTATCTTCACGATTCGGCATGAAAAGGGGCCATATTGCACGTTTAACAGATCAAGGCCATGCGTGCACGGATCCACTGTCAAAATCATATGGCCTCGCCGCGAGACAAAACACGGCTACACCGTCTAGAAATAACACCATTCTTAAGATCCAATCCATAGCAAAGTCCTTTGGCAGGAGTAGCACGTACAATAACAGGTCGCTGGAAGAATCACTGGCCGATTTCAAGATTAAGGATGGTTACATCTTTAAAGGGATTGTTGCTGCGGGACCAGCCAAGGCTCGAGCCTGCGGTTGCGTACAACCTCCTCCAGTGGTCGACACCGTGGCACCTTATGCCACTATTGAAAACATATCGGTTCAGAGATTAACTCCCGTGTATAAGATCGGGATGGAGCCTTTGGTGAAATCCAAGACTCCACCTATGAAAGCTTCGGAACTGTGGCGGTGTAAGCCGGCTGTTCTCCTGTGCATTCGACGGCCAGGGTAAAGTGTCAAAATCAACAAGAGAAAAACCATGTTTTATCATCTAAAGGATGAAATTGATTTGACTTCCCTGCCTACATGATAATAGGTGCATCATGTGCAGAGCTGAAGCTCACCAGCTCTATGCCAAAAAGCCAATATTTGATGCACTGGGAATCCAAATGTTTGCAGTTCTTCATGAACATATAGAATCAGAGGTGAGTTGTACACTATTTATTCAAAAAATTTCTCCAATAAACTTCCTTTTTTCCTCAGATATATCAACTTTTGATGCAGGTAAACGACTTCTGGCCACGCTATTGGGGTGGAGTTGTGATCTTGGATCGTACAATGGGATTCTTCAAAGCTCTTGGAGGTGGAAATTACTTAAAGACAAGTTCCTATCAGGATTTTTATTCAATCCACGGGCCATTGCAAACTATAGACGTGCAAAAGCAATGGGAATAGACCAAAATTTTAAAGGAGAAGGTGAAATCAAGGGTGGCCTTTTTATACTTGGTCGAGGGGGAACTGGAATAGCTTATCAGTTTATAGAGAGAAATTTTGGTGATTGGGCTTCCTGTTGCTGAAGTTGTAGAGATATGTGCTAGGTTACAGGTATTGCTTATTATCATCCAATTATTGCAAATCAACCTTTTCTTCAGCATGTTGCAGAATCAACAACATGAACAAAGAGATTCTAACAAGTCAACAGAAGAATGATATTCATATAATAGATTTACATCTCACATCTTCGGGAGTATCAGATTCGTATGTCAAATTTAATGTTAAATTTAAATGAGGACAAGACAGGTAAAGGATAAGACACTTCAATTGTTTACTCGGACATCTTTCCATGACTTCTTGTCCCATGGTTAAATGCTACATATATCTATGGAAGAAAAAAAAATCTGCTTGCTAAAGGAATCAATCTTCAGATAAATTCCAGTGTTTGAATTTGGTAATATATGCAATCATATCTTAGATTACAGAAGAGGTTCATCTAATATAGTACCGGATAAAATCATATAAATCCTATATCACGAAAACTTCCCATAATCAATCTATACATTCTAATCCACCTTACCTCAGACTAGGGCACCGATACATTCCCATGATTAAAGGAGTTCCATATCCCTCCACATATCTAATGCTGAAAAAGCATGAAAATGAAATTCATCTCACCATACAGCCGAGGAACCTCGAGCACGATAGGAATATGGTGACAGCATATGTTTTATGCTTGACCTTTGTGAGACCATGCAGTTAAGGAACCTTGAGCACGGTACGTAAATGGTGACAACAAATGTTTATACTTTAATCTTCGAAAGAGTGGTCTGCATTCCCTTAGTTACCTTCAAGAATGCAGGCATATATATATAGCAAGTAATAGGGACATAATGAAATGCCTGGCATGGAGCCAAAGATAGATCAAAGTTCTACTTTTGTATTACAGGATGGTCATGGCCCTGCAAAAAGCATTAGATAAATTTTAATCAGATCAGACGACATTTGGCCCATGAGATAGGAGATTAATAAAAGCGTGAAATATACATTAAGGCTGTTAAAAGGAGCACTGGTTCCATAGTTCATTTGAACAACATTGTGGAGCTCATCCTCCCATGAATTCAAGAGCTAGAATCAAAGTGTATAGAAAGTTAAATTTGTAACGTTCATGAATCATGAGGTTAAGAAGATAAACAGATTTTTCATATTGGTAACCCTTTAAAAAGATGTCAAAAGAAAATGAAGGAAAACCTGATTGGGCTCCTTTAATCCTCCAGTCATCGATGTTAATTGAGAACTAAGAGATCTAGGAATAACATCAGCGTTATTCCCTGTAACAGGAAGAGCAGCTTGAACAAGTCCAGGTTGAGACAGGTGCAATGAAGCATAACCAACAGATAAATCTGGAGAAAACCCCAGTGTAGAAGAAGGGCCAGCTCGCGATTGAATAATCTGTACATCAATGAAAAAGCTTTTGATGGGTTAGATGAGACAATACAAGAAGGATAGCTAAATCTATGCTTGACCAACTTACATCTTTTGCAAGAAGCCCTTCGATATTAAAATCCAGCCTGGGGTTAACTGTAGCAAGTTTCATCGACAGAAACTGCGAAAGGGAAGAATGTGATTAAACTACCAATTCACAAGGTTGTAACAATATTTACATCAATCCAGAACAAAGTTCACTAATTAATTAAACTGAAGTATCTACAATTCCATCATCGCCAATTACACAAGATTACTAGGGAACAACAAGCTTGAAAAACCTAAGTTTTAAATTCTGCTCCAATACCTCAACCTGCCGCTGAAGTGACTGCACATAATTGATGATTTCATCTAGCATCACTGCCTTTCCTGTAACCTGAAAGAACCAATGAATTCCCACACAACAAATTACATTATTTGTTGTGAATACTGCTGAAAAGTCGATATGGTTGTACTCCCTAAGCTATAGGGTCCAAGTTATCACACCTTGTTGCAACCAGGTACAAGGTCCTGAAGAAAATTCATCCTTTCACTGATCTTTTCTCTTCTTACCTGAAGTGATAACCAATTAACACCAATCTAAACAAGATCGATGATCTAATATTTGCTATTTCAAACAGTATGTATTCCATATAAAATTTACCCTTTCCGCAAGACTGTGGTTGTTTGTTGCCTGGCCTCGTCGGGCTCTCACATGGATGTATTCTTCTTTTGGTGGGTGAGAAGCTGGAGACACTTTCTTCCCTGTATTCTTATTGGCACTTGTTGCTTGCTTCTGGTCTCCCTTTTGTTGATTTTCAGCACCATCCTTTGCTGCCTCGGTTGGTGTTTGGCCTCGCTTAGCTTGATCAATCTCAGCATCCTGCCATAAACTTAGTAATCAAAATTTCAACTATAAACAGAAGTGTACAATGGATCGATGAAACAATCGGTTAACAGTTTTTTACCTGTAAACTCCTTTTTCTTTTCTTCGCACTAAGACCCTTAGTAGAAGGTTCACCACCTGTACCATCCAATGAAGATGGTTCATCTTGACCTCCTTCACGACCGCTAAACTCAGGCTCATCAGACTCATTACCAGAACCACCAGTTCCTTGTTTTGTTTCTTCGTTGGCTGGCACAAGACTTCCACTTCTCCCGTCCTTCCTGAGAGGGCTTTCTTTAGCCCGATTTTCAACTTGCAGACAAGCATCTCTAGTAGCTTCAGCGACATTCAACTTACTTTTCTGAGATTCCACACTAGATACTGATTTCATCTCATTGGCTGAGAACACATATTCATGTACCGGCATCAATCCCACACCTCTAGTATACAGACCCACAGATTCAGGCATACCTAAAGGGCTCACCATATCACTAAAATTACCCCCAATAAAGCTCGAGAACCTGGCAGCGCGCTCGATGAAAGCCGAATCATCTGGCAACTGTGATAGACTCTGTGGTAGAATCCTATTCGTATTCGGTAAAAGAAAGCCCCCTTTCAACGTCGAACTTGCAGCATTCCAACCCATATCAAATGGTCTATCAATGCTACTTCTCAAAGTGGTAAGAGTACCTCTCCCAATTCCCACTGCATTTGAAGAGCTTCCACCATGTTGTACATTGAAGCCACAAAACCCCAAGTTCTGTGAATTAGATGGGTGCTCCCAAATGTTCGAACCGAATGAGTCTGCCACCGAAGCACATGAAGAACCAATAGCCAATGGATTATCACTAGGAACTAAACTCATACCACCACTTGTAAGATTGGCACCACCAAATTGCCAATCCGATGACATAACAGGCGCCTGGCAGTTTATGCTATTCTCATTCCTGTTTTCTAGCTCATGTTCATGGTTTTCGCCTATATCATCCATCCCTCTTTCAACAAGAGTATAAGAAGAAAACTGGGTCTAAGCCTTTCTCCACAATTATGTTTGAACACCTAGCCAACAACAGTGTAAAAGTTAGGCTGATGAAAAGAAACTAAGCCTTTAAAAAATTGACCATTACCTAAATTCACACCCTTAAATGGTATAATATGATCGAATAAAGATCCAACACCATAAAAGAGAAAGGTAGAAAAGAACAAGAATAGACAAATCACATAGGAAAATGATTTAAGCCTTTGACATAACATTAAAACAGATTTAACTTTAACAGCAAGCTTGAACCCAAGTCCACAAAGAGACTGAAAACTTACAATACAAAGAAGGTATAGTCCTAGAAAAGCTGAAATTCACCCACCCCAAAAGAAAGCCACAGAAACTTCTCATTAATGAACCCCAAACCCACAAGCTGACACAGACAATTTCCAAAGCAAAAACCGGAGAATTGTAAAGTACCTGAATTTGCACAAAGCAAAAGAAGAAGCTTTCCCCAAGACAAAAAAAGATGGAACAGAACAGAAAAAGGGAGTTCAAAGAAGAGCTGTAAGAAAAGAAAAATTAAAAAAGTCTACTACAAGCAATCAATCAAACTAGGAAAAAGAACAATGATTTCAGTACAATAAATAAAGCCACTCAGTCAAAACACTAGTCAAGAGTTTTAGCAGAGAAAACCCAGAAAAAGAGACAGAGATGAGGTGAGAAAGATACCCATTTTCAGATTCCGTGCTTTCTTTTTTGTACTCTCTCGTTCAAGGCCCTCTTTTTCAAAAACACTGTCACGCACACAAAAGTTAATGTTTTTCAATGAATTTGAGCCATTTTCTTTTCTTTCCGCTCAGAAACAGAGAAACTCTGCAACAGAACAGTCGGAAAAAAAAGAACCAGAGAAGAAAAAGCAATAAAGGAGAGAGACCTTTATTGCTTCAGAATCTAGATTTAAGAGTGAGAGAAAAGAAATGGGTACTTGTCTATTTTTGAAGAAGAGAGGAGTGAAAGGCAAAGGTCCTGCATTTATATCCCACGCTCGCATTAAAAAGAGAGCTCTTTGTTCATTAACCACCGCCACTGCCAACATCAAAAATCAATGCTTAATTGTAGATTTTAGTTATAATTATACCCATTTGAGCTAGCAACTGACACTGCCAACTCTCATCACAGTATTTTTCTTTTCTATTATTGTTTTGATTATAAAATATCTTGGGTGGAGAGCTTCAAGATCTTTAATGGAGTTTTGTCTGAAATCTCATTTTCACACTTTTGTACAGATTTAAATACACATATGGGGGGTCCAGCAAATGAACATAATTATTGAATTTCATTTATATGAACATGGCTAAGAGAAGAGTCCATGGTATCTTTCTCTATTATCCATCTTTGGCTATTTTTCATGGAGAAACAAATACCTTGACTTGTACGCAGTTGATATTTATCCTGATAATTTACATTAATATTCATTCGAAATCAGTTTCATGTATTACATTGTTCGGTAATTGACTTGATAAATTTTGGAAAATCACATGTTAGATGGTCGTTGAGAGGATGGTCTCAATGTTAAAATCGACATGACACAGTAAGGTACAAGGATGTTGTTTTTATTGTAGACGTCTC